ACTTTTGCCCTAAGATGACAGTTGTGAACACATCTGTTTATACATCAAGAGTGTATTTACATTGGAGATGGGTAGACCTATTATGATCCATTTTTGCAGGCAGCTTTATTATGTTCAGTAGACCCTAGCAAACCAGAGCACAGGGCTTTCCTCACTGTGTTAGAATGCCAGTGGGCAGACAACCAACTCCACTTGTTCTCCTTGATGAGTTTTCTATAACCTTATGGCCTGCTGAGGTAGGATAGACATAGTTAGGTTAACCTAGCTCTGCTGGAAACTTGCCTGTAGCCTGATTTCCGGGCTAAAATTGCTCCGGTCTAAACACGTCTTCTGTGTGCTATTTTATAGGAGCCATAGTGCTGTCATCAAAGAGAGTGTTTTGTCAGGGGAAGTGGCAAGTCAAGACGTAGCAGACCTTCAAGGTTTATGAGTGACACCAGGCGCCAGTAATCCTGCCTGAAGTGAATCCTGCCGTTGATATCGCCAGTCTCAGTGTTACTAATAGAGCCACTGACATGGAGGTGCATGTTAATAAGATAACAGGATATTACATGACCTGGATATCAAATATTACTTGTTTATGTGACATTATAAGTTTGAAATATGCAAAAATAAATAAATAAATAAATAAATAAATAAATAAAATGAAACAAAATAAAATTAATAACATAAAATGAAAACATGTATGTAAATGGCTTATGGCATGGCTCCTAATCTTTTCAGCTGCTTGTGTTATTAAGTAGATTAATCTACAAGCTTTTATTGAAATGTCCAAATTGTGGAGGCAAAGATTATAACATGTTCCTCCAGTTAGACAGTTGGACAGTTAGAGCAAACAGTGACAAAAATAAAAGGGGAAAAACTGATGACAGGATCAGTCATGGTGACCTTGTCAAGACCACTGAGTAATCAGAGATAACCCAGTAAAAAGGTCATTAATAAGTTCCTGTTTTTTTCTCTTTGTGGTGGTACTGTTTTTTGGACACGCTTTACTTCCTCAATTTTGCCGTGTTTGTTGATAATGTATTATGCAACATTGTGCTGCTGCTTCTTAGAAATGATTGAGGAAAAATGAAAGTGTTTGTTCATAAAAGGCAGTTTTGACCTTGAAACATCATGTTTTTATTATGAGATATGTGCAATACCAGTATAATGAATCTTTTACAACTATTCAGGATTTATTTGAAAATGAATGTCAATTTTTTGTAAATAAAGCTTAGTTTAGTGTTATTTATTCATCTTACTGGTGAGGAACTAGTGTAATATTAGACCAGCTGTGTCCTGGAAGACATTCAGTGAAAAAGAAAATTATAAAAAAGATAAATAAATAAACAGTTTTGTTGAAACACAAAACTTATAAGGCAGTGCGTGCTAGCCTAGTAAATACTTTTTGAATGTCATTTAAGTCAACAATATTATCCCTATAATTCAAGATAAGACTTCAAACTTCAGCACTGGTGACCTTACAGGTGTGATAGAATTCTGTAAAGTCATACAGTAGCTATAACCCAAACAGCTCAAACAAGTTGCTGGAATGTAGGTCTTCATAAAATAATGGGTTGTTAATTTGAAATGTAATAGAACAGCAGACTAATGAAGATATATTGATGTAGGCGAAGTGTGAATTTACCCAACATCCTCACTTTCACCCTCCCACCAGATTGTCACAAAGGTCCACTAAGGTGAAACAATTATTACAATTTAGAAAAAAGTTCATCATTTCTTATATAGCACACATACACACAGATGTAGTGAGTTCAGTAAGGAAAAACATTTTCGCATTAATTTGACTGCCTTAATTAAGAAGGTTGCTGTTTCTGTAGTAGAAGCAGCATTGACTAAACCTATTACACCTAATATCACTCTATATAGACCTTTTAATTCATATCCAAGAACTTGTTACTGTTTGACTAAGAGTTCCACACAGCTCTACTTCTGTATACTTTGCCAGTTCAGAGGAGTCAAATGAGGAAAAAGAGACATGGAAAAATGAGATTAAGGGCTCCACTAGTCTGTGGCTTTCCTGCAACAGTTTTTACTTATTCATGAGACATGATTGCATTTGGCTTTTGAAGTATGTTTCTGTTAACTTGTTTTTCTGTAGTATGGAGTTGAATTTTGCTGCAAATTGTAGTCATTTTGTACTGTGTCGGAGGAGGGGGGAGGGGGAGGGGGGCATTCATGCTTACTTGACAGATTGATGCATTTGGAAAGAGGTTTGTTCTAAATCTGCTCTAAAATGTAATCCAAGTTAAATGTCATTATGGTGAAAAGTCCGCTGTTTCAGAAAGATAATGTCCCATGGATATTGCTGGCTACCGACCTGCTCATCTTATGAGAGGTCCAGGTTACCCTCTCCCCCTTCTGAAAAAGAAAATAATTTTACTGGATTAAAATATTTACCCATTTTCCTAGAAGCACTTTCATTAATACTTAATTCATTCATCTCCAAAAGTTCCATGCAAGACCACTCTCTGTGGCTGGTTAAAATCTATGTCCATTTGGTGTTATATATTACCTTTGTTTGGTTAGGGTGGTATGGCCCAGTGTTCAAGAACACACATATTACTGAGAAATGTCCAACAGCCAGTGAGTAACTCAATTCTTCACTTTGATATATGGAGCTGCAGTGGTATTTTTCACAAGAAACATTACATATCTATGGTTAGAAATTGGAATCTACCAAAAATAAAAACTTGTTAAGAATCTGCTAGGTGAAATGTTTTTACTTTCAGGCATGTTTCCATTTTTAAAATTAATAAAGATATTTTTCTAACGTTTATAACTCTCAAAAATGACTGACTATAACTAGGAAGTAATTTTTCCAGGAAAACACCAAAATAATGAAATGTCATGTCCAGAATTTAATTCTATTACGTGACAAGTCCATTTAGTAAACAACATTCTTTTTAACAGGAAATTAGTAATTTCCCACAATAAAAAGGTTTTTATTGCTGTAAAACGATAAACCTTGATGTTTGATGAAAAAATCAGCTGTACACCAACATTGGTGGTCTTTCCTTGGGTCTTTCAGAGGGTCCATGTATAGAACCAGATCTACCTGTGCTTGGCTCTTACGCCTATACTAACTTCTATACAAACCAAATTGGAAATCTGTATTACCTCCTGATGAATAAATAAATATGTGAAGTAAACAATATACAAGAGGCAATTTTTTTCTTTTAAATGTGAAACAAAATGCATATCATGCTAATCAAAAAAGTAATAAAAGTCAAATGTATTATGTTTGGCCCAATAAAGGTTTCTTATGCTGTCAGAGAAAAGTTTTCAGCAAATTTGTAGTTGCACATCCATATCTCCCATCACCCTACCCCACCTCCACCCCCACCCCCCACCCCCACCCCCCACGAACACAACACACCGCAATGTTTGTTCTTCACCTTGGAATTTCAAAAGGCAAATAATTCAGTAAGCCTCATTTTTATCTGCTGTGGTTAGTACTAGACCAAATTTTCCTCCCCAATAATTTAATGAATGAAAGGAGGTCAAAGTGCTTGTTTGTTATTTCCCTTAGTTCAGAATGAATGAAGGCTATTTGTTTGCTTGGTCTATTGACTGAGCTACTTGGACATCCGGTTAACGTAATCACCCTAATACTACATTTCAAAAGTGAAATCCAGGTAAATGGGTACGTGAACGTGGGTGTTTCTAGGCCAGGGTACTCTACCTGTACTGTACCTGTACTCTACCTGCACATGTACAGGAATAAACTGTTTAAAACCTATTGAATTGATTCCCCAGAGGCTTGTTGAGATCTTTGATCAGTAAATAAATAATTCATTTTCACCTTTATGAAATAAGAATTCTGTGTGTAATGTAAAATGTTGTGTTAGATAATTTGGATTCTGAGGATTATGTAGAATATTGCTTTTTATGCCTGATGTACGTGATCTTCCACTGACATTGGAGCTAAATTGTAACAAAAGTCTGTTTCCTGTAATTGGAACCAACAATTTTTTTTTCTTTTTTTTTTGTATAAACGTGACAATTAACCCGGCTTATTATATTTTGATTAAAAGAATTAAAGTGTCACCTTCACATTGGATATTGCTCCATTAAGGCTAAGTTATTATGTGTATAACATGTCTGCCACAGGATCTATTAATGAAGGCTTCATTTAAAAGAATCCTGTAGAAATAAAAGGAAATTAGTTCACGTGATGAGATAATGGTGAAATTAGAAAAAAATGTCCAATTTCTTCTCGTTTTAATGACATATTAAAGGAAACAAGAATAAAGTTTTTTTTCATATTTTATGTGATTTTCAAGGAAAGACCAAACCTGAATTAGGTTTAATGTGTCTCCTTAAACAACCCAATAGTTTTATTAGTACGCGCTGGTAGATGACAGCATGGAGAGATGAAGACAGTAAGGGTGGAGCCGGGGGGGGGGGGGGGGGACAGAAACATAATGCCCGACTTCAAACTAAATTTATAATTGATTTGAGGAAAACTGGTCCCTGCCTGGCTTTGTCTTAACACATCCTTCACAGAATGTACAAACTCTCTCCCTCCCCCCCCCTCTCTCTCTCTCTCTCTCTCTCTCACACACACACACACACACACACACACACACACACACACAGTGCTAATATTGTATGGACAGCAGTGGGTTGGTACAATTCTTGTTGATCTTGACTGACTGAGCAAACACATTGATACTACAGCGGCAGTGGTCAAAGGATGTCCATAATACAAGATTACATCACATTGTTTATGTGTGGGTTTTCTGTTGTTGTACACATATAACTGCTCTTTGTACCATTCATGCACTGAAGATCTCTAGTGAAGAACTGGATAGGGTGCATGCTGCACAGCATTGGAAAATATCAACATGGGCTTTTCGAATGGAGTTCTGTGTAGGAATATTTTCTTACTTTTTTTTTTCAAATAAGAAGAGAACATTTTTGCAGCTTTCATACACGATCCGGGACATTTTCCACGTTCTGACTGACACAATGACAACAACAACAACAGTGAATACTATTCATTTGCAAGTGATTTATTGATTTAAAAAATTACTGTATTTGAAGTTAGAAATCATGTAAAATCATCAAGTTTAATACTTGACTAGATCTAATGCTACAGTATCTCTGGCAAGGCCAGTGTTTTAAAAAAGTTTGTATACACATCATTATGTACAACAAGTGGAATAAGACTTCACTTTCTTACCAAATACACAAACATTTTGATTATAACAAGTTTTTATACACAATAAGTTTTGACATTTTATAACAAAAAAGACAGCTGAAGAGAAAACAAATAAGTACAACTGTAAAAGAATAAACAAAGAGTCACTAAATGATATCTGTACATCAACCAGGCAGCAATGAAGGTAGGGAAGCCACACCCTTACCCAACAACATAATAAAACAAGTTTTAAAAATCCAAAGAAACAAAATATTTTTCAAAGCCACATCCTGCATAGCTGTAAACTGTGGTAACAATCAAACACTTTGGCACTCTAATCTGAGAGCAGCTACACTGTTAGAGCTCTCAGCACCTTTACTATGTCTTGTCTATGTGTTGATCTTAAAGACAGACATTGCTCGTCAAACATTTCTATTCCTCTCCATCTTTGACACTTTCCAGTTGGACATCATACCCTAGAAAATCTTACCATGGGTGAACCCATTGCTATACCCATATATCATACATAGCTGGGAGAAAGTGATCTTAGATGAAGAGTTACTGTGCTATACTTCTGACAAAGTAACAAACATTTCTCAGTGTAATACCACATTATTGCTTTGGTTACCATTACACACAAACAAATTAATAAATCACAACCTTAAGGGACTCATTTTCTTACTTTCATGTTATAGACATTTAAGGTGTCATTGTATTTTTTCCTTTACACAACCAATCATACAAGGTGCACAATTACTGAGGACTGCAGAACGCCATTTTAATTTTAGTAGATAGAAAAATAAATAAATCCACTCTTCAACTATCTAAAGTAGTTCTATTTGATTATCTTACTACTTTGATCTGTCATTTGAGTACAGGCGTCCGTTGTAAGGAAACAATGAGTAAGACCCAAAACGTGTGATTGGCTTATCAGATCATGATAAACTATGGGTCGTAGCGTACAGTTTGAACAGGAGCTTGAAGATAAACTTCACCGTTAGCACAGCTAATCTGTTTGCTCCGTCACTGCCATGTGACGGCTTCCCAAACATGTTTACTATGTCGAAACCTTTGTGCAAACAATTTATACTCAAAGTTGCGAAATTCTTCCAATGCACATCACGTAGACAAGATTATATTTTGAGTGGCTAACCCAGTTTTTCTATGATGAAATCTAAAAAGAGCTGTCCTGCAGGACACGTGCTGCCCCCTGGCATGATTCACCATCAATTGCGGATAGGGCAGTCGTACAAGTTCTCCTCGTGCTGGCTAAATTAAGCTGCTATGAAGATATTCAGAAGTCTGTCAATCCTGAAGTTGCTAGGCATTAAGTCTATCTGACGTAGCTAATTCCAAATCTTTGGCACCCAATTAAAGCACTGCAGTCATTGGACCACCCCAGGGCAGCCCGACCTGTACCGCCAAACACGCCAAGATCCGCTACCAACCAAAGTCAAGTTAACACAAAACTCAACCCTTGCGACAGGTTCACTTGCTTTTGGGCTCGTGGCGCTTCATGTGCAGAGCCAGATGATCTGATCTGGCAAAGGAACGTTCACAGACTTTACACTTGAAAGGTTTCGCACCTGTGTGTTTTCTAATATGGCGAGTAAGCTCATCAGAACGAGCGAAGCGCCACTGACAACTCTGGAAGTGGCATTTATATGGCTTTTCACCTGTAAAGATAAAGTAATGAAACTATTAAGGTCATGAAGCAATCAGTGTAGAGACAAAAATATCTACATAGTGATTAAACACAATGAAGTCTGAAAACATCATTGAGTCATGAACCAACTGAAATTTTTTTGGCTTTTTTCTGAGAATACATCCGTGGATGTTGATAGGATACTGAAGGAAATACAAAAAATTAAAGTTTATTTCCCTACCACTCTGTCATGTTTTGATCTATTGTTCACAACTGAACCAAATATCATAATTATTATTTCAAAACTGTTTTCTCAGTGTGGTGTGTGGTATGTTACAAGTGGCTGGTACAAATGTTAACATTCGCCTTCTTCATATGGTAAAAAGCAGGAGGCTAAATTCCACATTATATAAATAGAATTGACTCCTTTCCAAGATACATTATACTTGTCTGTCTTTTGGCCTGACTTGTGAACTATGTGATATTTATTTCTGCAATTTAAAGTATAAATTACCCCTGATGTTTAGATATCCTAACGTTCTAACCTACTTTAAAGTTTTTATGGCTTTTGGCCAAAGTTGAATAATTTTGGTTTTGCTATTCAAGTTATTTCTACCATAGTAGTAAACAACTTCAAGATAGCCTGATAAACAATAATAATTTAGCTGAATGAGACAAGATATGTAATTTTGTTGATATTAACACTCATTTTAAACATCTGAGCCCCTATATACTATTTACAGAAAAGTAATCTTCACGCATAAAAACCCATTTCAAGATTCCATCTATTGGAATTGATCCAAACTCTCCCCGGGACATTTTACATACCTTTTTCAGATTCACAACTGCAGCCACCGATGCATACACACATTATCTTAATGTTTCCCATAAAATTATACCCTATCATTTATGTTGCATCACAATTTTTTATTAGAATGACACCTAAATGGGGGAGGGGGAGGGGGCAATAAGTATGTGACATGTGGATCCCCTACACATACCGAGTCTTTCAAAAAATTTTTTTGACATATCTGATATAAGCACGTTAACTCTACCCGTACTAAAGCTCTGATTATGGATATATTTATCATATTTAAGTAACTATCCTGTCCATTGTCAGGGCCTTTCACTTCATATCCATGGTCAGGGCCTGTCAGTTCCTATGAAGGCCCTGTCTATGGTGAGTGTGATTACACTGTTGTCACTTGGGTGTCCCCGACAGAGAACCAGAATGTGTACACACACACACTGCCATTGCATTATCGTAAGAAGATTTATAGCTCAAAACTGAAGGACTAAAAAGCTTCTGTGTTGACTCTAGCAATAACCATTGGCTAGATCAATAATGACACTATTCATAAGTGCGTTCAGTGTAAATTCAAACATGGGCATCATTTCAGTGAGACATGTCGTTGCCATGGTGATATTATCCAGCTCTGTCAACTACCCCAAACCATTGTCAGTACCTGAGTTCAGAGTATACATCAGGGTATGTGTCTCTATGACAATATTTACCATGAATTAACTAACAATATATTCATTTGCTCACCTGAATAAGTTTACCAATTAATGACTCTGAAATAGTGAACGTTACTTAACCTTCGCCACCTCAGTTCTTCAGGCCTGGGGGGAGCTATGCCTGCTATTTATTTCCTTCACTTATGTACTCTAAGTCCTGTGTCTATTTAAAGGTTTTCTGTTTCCTAACTTAATGTGCAATTGCTTGTGCCCCTAGCTGAAGTAAAAATGTCTAGCCCAAGGGGGAATTGGATTCCACTTTTTCATTAGTCATTTCAGATTTTTTCTTGCCACTCACACTTATCTTGGTAGTATAAATTGTTCTACCCACGTTTTAATTGTTTGTACAATTGCAATGTGTTATAACAGAGTTGGAGACTCTCTGTCAGGATGCTTCCAGTGAACAGGAATTAAAACCACAGCTTCAAAAGCACCTCCAGAGATCCAATTTTAGAGACAGGCCTGGATCTTGTTTTCATGTTCTTTATTTCATACCAGAGAGGATTCATTTGGCTTGGACTTCCTGGTTCTATGAATGTGTGGGCTGTCTCCAGCTGCTATTCAGAGAACTTGGTGATGACCACTGAATCATCATGTACAGCTTCAGTACCATGGTTGAAGCCCATTCAGCGGTGGTCGGTGGTCGGATATTGCTTTACTAGTGCCCACCCAGTGAAATCCATTCTTAGCACTCAGTGCAGCTACAGCATGAGTTTTGCTTCCAAGAAAATAATTTTCTTTTGATTTTAAGCAGGATATTTCGTTTAGTCTAATAGATACATCCTTCTGATGTATGCATTCCATATATTTTCTCTAATCTATTTTAATTTCCTTTTGCTACTTCATTTTATCTCATTTCTTTCAGTTGGTGATATACCAGTCTCCATAAAGAGCTCTTTAACATTTCTTTTCATTATTTATAACTATTGATATTCATGTATATCATTTTTAGGCACTATATGGAATAAAATACTCATTTTATGGAAGAAGTAGTACCACTAGAGAAAACTTCAATATTTATACTCCACTCTCTCTGTTGACCAAGCTCTAAAGCAGTGACAACCCCTGCAGATAAGTGGTAGCACTGGAAGGGGGCACCTTGCCAGAGCCAAGTGCTCTCTACCCTGTAACTTTAAACTTCAATGTGCTGCTAGCAGTGTAGGAGAGATGCCCACAATTACAACCACCACCAACTGCTTTCACTACTTCCTCTTTCTAACAAAATTACCGGACTGTTTTGGAAGATTACCGAATGACACCAGGTCTCAAGTTTGTGCAATTGTCAGTTGCACTGAGTGGCCACAGTTGTACTAAATTGCTTCCCAAGTCTCCACTCTGGGCTTGACTTCATTTGAAACTGAAGTGTTATTTTTGTTGAAATTTAATTTAAATTCAAATTTGTAAGAAGTTACTAGTTTTGTGCTTTATTTTGAAATGAGATTTTAACAACCTTTTTGAACAGTGGTAACATGCGTACGAGGCAATCCTTAATCAGTACAAAAGAGTAAGATTTCCAACCAGTTTTTTGTTTGCACTAAGGAACAAGTTTTGTGTACTGGATAACACTTCCCCAAAGTTTACCTGTCTGGAGCAAATTTCTAAGCTATTATGCATTTCAAAGCCAGGTTTCATAACAGACATAAAATGTTATTTTTAACCTAGCAGCCTAGATATTAAGTCAACTGGTCTACCTGAGAATTGTCTAAATATCTGTGGCACTCTGACATCACCAGTTGATCAATTATCAATTTTATGCTGGAGATAATGGTTGCAGTTTATTTATGTATGATGAGAGGACCATCTAACTTTTGCCACATGAATTAAACTATGAAGGCTGTACACCAATACGACTGAAATTCTATCAGTTCAGTAAATAATTCATTTCCATCTCTATATTTCATACTGTTGGTAGGGCTGTGAACATGAAAACAGCTGATTGTTGAGTATTTGTGTGAAGCCCGCGTGTAAAATTGTACAAACTACAGGATAAAATCGCTCAGAAACTGATGTGGATTAAGCTGAGTACACAATCTTTCCATTAAAACCACTTAGGAATGCAATTATTGTACCACCACTGCTCATTCATGAGGTAGAAATCCTCGGCTCTTGTAATGCCCTTTAAAGCAATCAACAGAGTTTATCTGGAATGATTTGAAAACCTATTTAGTTTATTCTGTACTTTTGCCTATATATCCTACAATATAACCAGTAGCCAATGCAATGCTCAAACATTTAATTCTATCATGAAAGGATTTTCATGGCCAGTTTTCATTTCACTGGCTAAGCTTCAGGTTATAAAAGTGTGTTAAATCTGGGACCATGCACCATTTGCCTATGGGACACACTTAAATATGAAATCTGGCAATTAAAACATTCCCCAAGTTGTCACGAAACCGCCAGACTGGCGACAACGTTATGAGAGAATCATGATGATTGTAGATGTGTTTTCATGTGGGCTCCTTGGCAAGTAGCCTGATCTCAATAAATGGACAAACTAATGAAGTCAGTTCTGTAGTCTGCTAACACATTGACTAATGCAGCTACACTAGCTTGGTTCATCACTCTGGCTAAACTGTCTACAGACTGGGCTATATGACATATGAAGGTCATACATCAATATGAATACCAGAATCATAATGCTATATGCACTGAACCTAATCAAACACATTTCCTATGACACCCAAAGACTCAGTAGACTAATTGGTGATTTAGGACCTCCTGTTTGCATGGGAAGGCAAATGGTTAAGTGTTTTCCTGATGAAATGAGAGGATGTACGGCAGCCAGTGCTGAATACTGAGTGTAATATATGTTGTGGTAATATATGTATGTGGGGAAATATGCTGGGATGATTGTCTGACCATTGAGTATTTAATAAAATAGACAGGTACCCTCTCTCACTGTCTTCACAAAATATACTTTGTACATTGTACAACAGAGAAAGAAATGATATATAGAATTGAACAGCAGATTTGCCATTAATTATGGTGAGTCAAAGACTTAGGTCCAGATTAATTAGCTTGCACTTCATCCTAGGTGACAGAGTTAGATATGATGACTTGCAAGAGAGGGCACCTGTTTGTGAGATGATCAATTCATATTATCTACCTGTATGAATTCTTTGATGAGCCTTCAAGTGGGAGCTCTTCGTATATGCTTTACGGCAATCTGCAAAATAAAAAAGATCATTTTGTTATTATGATAATATGTCACGTAAACTGAATATCTGGTTTTTATTACATTATATGACAGTGGTTAATGAACATGTGACACAAACGTACCCTGTATATCAGACTTCCTTTTCAACACGGGAATTCATTTCACATCTGATTACATTACAATTTATTTAATAGGCAATATTCCACAGAGGACGCCTCAGATGGCACCTTGCACCTGGTGACCCAGGTAGGGGGATACAATTAAGAGTAAACTAACTCTTTGACTGGGATAACATGTCACAAAATGATACAGGTGATTTTAATAAATGCTCCATTCCATCTCTTAACTAAACAGCTACCGACTCCATTCAATCTGGCTAATGAAAAACTGATAGGGAGGATTAGGCAATGCGGCCCTATGAAAAGGAAGATTTGGGGGATGGCTTAATATGATTCCTCACTCTCAGATACCTTATCATCAATACACATTGGATTTATTGTATGTAATCAGCTAAGTACTGACTTATAATTATGATCGAAAGAAGGTAGCAACAATTGAATCCCGCCCCGCTGTAATGAATTATGCCCTCTCCCTCCCCTCTTTCAATTAGAGGGTTATTTATTGCGAGTTAGAGGCACTTGGGTCATATTTAACGATGATTGTCATTTTCAGTGTTCATGATTAATCTTGGTTTGCTGATGCAACTGCCTCGTATTGATGACTCAAGTTTTACTTGGAACAAGATGAGTGGAAAAGTTTGTGAAAATTGCTTGTAAAAACCGTTTTAAGTGCAGATCTGGACGGGACGCGGGCTTCTTTCCAATTTTTTCTCCTGTTATAACTGTGAAATTTAGAAAAGGAGACACTTTTGAATTGCGGTATTGTGTAGTTTGTTTGGACTGGAAGCGAATCATGAGACGATGTGGTCTTAGTAAAACATATTTGGGATAATTGACCAAGCTCCCCGTGATCAATAGATGTGAGGGTATCTTTTTTCGGTGATTAACACTGAAATCACTCAAGTTATGAGGAAGTGGTCGGTGAATTTATAGCAGCAGATGATTGAAACTTGCGAGCCCCGCTGGACCACCAAATGCGGTGATCTCTCTTTACCATGTGGAACAAGTAGAATTTATCTGAACCGCATTCTTTCACGTTGTGTTTTTAGAACCGTTTGTAAATTAGTCACGCTAAACACTGTCAGATCAGTTTGTCTTGGAAGCATTTTGCCCTGAGAATTATTACTCCCATATGTGTCTGACGAAAATTAGATTTCTCCGAAAATCCTTGACAGAAATTGTCTTTAGGTACGGAATTTTTGAAGCATTGTCACGAGGTCCCCTTTAACTACCTTTTGGCAACGCTTTTTATTGCCCAGTGGGCCAGTCAGTGCGTCTCCGATTATCAAATATTATCTGACGCCCTTCAAAAAACCATTAAAGTTTTACGGTGTACTTCTTTTACGCATTATGCTCCACTTGAATGCGTGACCTGTTTAAAACCTCATTTTCTGCGTTTGTGACGTAAAATCTAAACTACAGGTAATTTGCAGTGAGCAGTTTAGCACTGACTTGGCTTAACTGGTTCTAAGACGACTCTTTCACGTACAACTGATTCTAACTATTTTTAGACGTATATTTTTTGCCTGAACGAAACACGAGGACATTTTTACACTATCCCTAACTATCCCAGCTTTTGAAATCCAATATCCTACATTGGTAAACGGGGGCATTACGTCTCAAAATCTCAAAGTAGCGTTAGATTTCAGCGAAATTCTTATCAGTGCTGTTTACGTTTCGTTCTTCTGTTGCTGGCGTTTGTATCTCAGCTTAGACGATAAGAGGTTCTTACTGGGGCCTTGGGGATCCGTGATTGAGATAAGGTACCCCAGAGAAGGGGGGAACGCCATGTGTCGCACCATATGAGAAAGTTCTCACAACCCTTGGAGACTTCTGCAAGAATGTGACATTTGGCTGACCGAAATGGGACGTTCTGTCGGTAACATCTAGATACCAGGCAAAATGCCTAAGGCAAGCAGTTTAGCAAATGCACTCAACAAGCTCACGGAGGGAGGGGGTGGGGGGCCTTGACACGTAACTATGATGTTAACGTTTTTGCTTATCAGACTGTCATTGCCCTCATAATTTATGACCTTGGAACAAAAATACCATGTTAGCTAGCTACTCGTAATTTTAGCAAATGTTAATAGAAACTCAACTAAATGTGACCAGAACCGACATGGTGCAAGGTACCATTGTATCTGGAAGAAACTAAACAAAATCTTACTTGGATAGTCACAGAAGTGTATTCTTCTCTTTTCTAACTCTGGGTTATTCTTTCTGTTATATCTAATAGTTGTACATCCTGGGTAGGTGTTCTGGATCTTCCCCGTGGCTGTCGTAGGAAGACAGTTCAGCATTGTGATGCCGTCAAGCACGGGGGTGGGGATCATCATCCCGGGATAGGGCGGGGGCGGGGTCCGCCTGACGATCTCCTGCTCTGGGCTGCCTGGCTGGGAGTTGGGCGGGGTTGGGGGCAGTTGCTGATGCTGGTGTGGTGCCTGCTGCATGTAAGGTGAAGATTGCAGGACCGTGTTCGCCATAGAGTACTGCTGAGTGGCTGCCGAGGACACCGGGGTATTGATGGGAGAAGGAACTTGGAACTGTGCAAGGTTAACACCATTTGGGTTGTTGTTGTTACTGAACATTACTGGCCTTGGGACTGGGATTTGTAAACTACTGGGGCGTTCCAGTTTAGTCCTTTCAAACTGGCAGTCAGTACTGCCCTCTAATTTCACATTGGCGGCAGCGTACGGGACTCCCCCCATGCCGCCGTCCATAGGAATGTTCACATTGTATTTACACGCTGCTGCCTTATTGAAGTTCTGCTGCTGCATACAGTTTGATGGAGCATCGGGCTCCTGTTTGATTTTAAAAGCATCTTCACAGTCCATTTTCACCTCCTCCAACAAGCTTCCGTCCAACATGTCCATACTGGCACTCAAATCCTCCCACATAGAGTCGGACTCGGAAGCTTTCTGCAAATCGCTGAAATCGGGGCTGCTTTCTTTCTTTACCCCGAAAAACTCGTCCATGATACTGCTACCGTTCTGGCTGCTGTCGCTTCGACATTCCATCACATCACTCGGAGAATGTTGTGCGTTAAACAAGGCGTTTTGTGGCACCGCCGCCGCCGTGCTGGCGGCCAACTGTCGGGGGTAATGCATCCCGTTGGCGCTGGCACGGTTCTGAGAGAGAATTCCAGTTCTCAGATATCTGTAATCATGTTTGGGCACCACCTTCACGTTCACGTTGATGTCGAGCCCCCCGGGACTGGCATGGGACGCGTCCCCGAAGAACTCGTCCACGTAGCTGGCGCTCGTGCGGCGCGGTTTCTTTAATTCTGGCATAGACGTCTGCCCGTATTGAAAATTACCCTAAAAAGATGAGATACATTATGAATATGGTAAAAATATGAAGAAAAGTGGAAAATATGATAAAAAGTAGAATATCTTAACTGATTTCAAACACCTCAGTCTTTGAGAAGACTTGAGCTGGCTATAATGATATGTTATCTACGGGACTCTATGATTTATTGTGATGATATGCATTTCATCAAAACACCATCACTTAAGAATAAGGTACCGCCGGGCTGGTAAACAACCTTTAATGCTACATTCACCGCTGTATCTCTGCTGAGGCCGATGAGCCCTCTATAAACTTTACTGTAAACTACTACGCAGTGACTTTGACGATGTTTGCGACGCAGAGGGACGTCATTGGGAACTCGATCTATATTTACTCTGAGCTCACGTTTTAGTACGTGTCAGAAATCAAGGTTGTTGTTTTCTCCTCTACGCAGCTGAAATCAAAACCTCCCCTTTTTCAATGACATAGACCCTAGGATACGAATACTCTATAATTGTTATTTATAATATGGTAGTGTTTCTTTTAGAAATGAGTTATTGGCTTTCTCTATTTCGGTGACTGAGTGCTACAGTATTGAATGGTGTGTGTAAAGTCATACAATCACCTTCAAGACAACAAGGGCGAATGAATTCGATCCATTCACTTCTTTATAGATGACTCTTTGGAAAAGAGACGTATCGAATAAAAGCTGGCATTTGAATTACAATGGTTGTTTTTGTCCCAGATATAGAGATATTTGGACGGAAGCCAACTCGGGTAACGTGGTACGCCTCACATCCTGAAAGTACGCCGATTAATTTCTCGGGCCCACCGCCAGTAGATCTTCACCTTGGCGTCGGTATTCCATTAATCTAAACAGTCTCATACCGATGGGACATGTAGGAGATCACTTGTTCATTTGTGATAATACATCCCGCTATCACACGTGAGTAGTTGGGAGGTTTCCCCGCTAATACTGTATTGCGAAATCGTCGTCCGCCCACTCACCGTCACAACGTGCTTCAACGTTTACGATAAAATGTGTTCTACTAAACATTTTAATCGGCGTGGGTGGTTACAGGTAAGCATTAAAGCAGCCCTCATCGTTTAACTCCCTTATTTACATGAATTCATTTACTTTCACTGTTCATATTTGCGAGGTCAATAATTAGATCTTAGGTGAATGAATTTATGAATGATGCTGATAGTAGCGCTTAACAGTGACTCAGCGGCATCGAGCTCGTAAACAATTTCTGGGCTGAAAAGAAGTCCACCACTAATCGAGGAATTAGCTGTACTATATCAGGTCCTTCAGTGCTTAGTAATCACACTGTAATGGTGTACTTAAAGCAAAAATCAATGATGAAATGTTGATGCGAAATTATTCCCGCCAAATGTTTCTGTGGACCACCGTGCTAGTTAATAACTGAACAATGTATCAGATAATATCAGATAATTAAATGGTGTGTAATAGGCTGCAGTAAATAGCTTTGCCATGTGGAGGGTAACCGTTATCCTTGAATTATATTCTATAAACTTGATCTTAAAATAAACTACCTATATACAACATGGATAGATGATACCTTCATTCCAAACATTGCTGCAATGCCTCTGCTGTAATTTCACTTTGAGTGCTCTCTATATAATGCCCCTAATTACATAACAGTAGCCGTACTAGACCCTAGCGAAGTGAAAGCTGAAGCTGTGACTTATATTAATAATAGTAACCCACCGGCCCAAGAAATCGTGCCTAAAGACACAAGTTGTCAAGAACAGTGCATAAATTAATAAGAAATATCTGTAATCATGGTGCTAAGCGTGCTTACCTGCCACGAGGCTGGGGTGGCAGGGAGAAGGTCCTGCGGCGGGAGAAAGCAGTCGTCGGAGACGTCGGGTACGATCTGATCATCAAATACGTCCGCTGTAAGACATAAAGTTTCGGCCATCGGATGTGGATAAAAAGTCTGGTAATTATGGTCCCTGGACACTCTCAGTTGCGGTAATAAAGTCACTGACTTGTGGCACTGCGTTTTAACAGTAACGTATAACTTGCTCCGTCAGTCGTAGTAGAGTTGTTTGTGAGTTGGTGAATGAATGAATGAATAAATAGTACAGCGGGTCAGTGATGACGTTCGCTATGTCAGGTGACTTACTAGGCTCCGCCTTATTTGCCATATATGGCACATGGGTTCCTAATATAGAAAGTCGACCTTTGGACCTTCTACGCACTTACTAAAATTTTCCACACGGCATGCCGTCAGCGATATGTCAATCATAAGCAGTGACCCGTAAAAAAAGCTGAAGGGATACCTTTGGCTGTTAGAACGCGACGAAGGTGACCCCTGCGCTTCATTTACACTCGGCACGCTACGGAGAACCTCGTAAACATTCGTATTTGCGCATGCTTACTTCTAGAATGTACTCTAAACTTTGACGTCACAAGGTAGTGTAAACAAACTTGGAATAACATATCTCATGTTCTTTCATGGTTGAGATTACCGTTGTTTACTTGACTACATCCATATAACTAATTCAAGAACAATCGCCGGAAGTGGAAAAGTAAATACATATTTATATTATTCACGGTTGCCTAACTTTGAGTTTCTTTTAATGAACTTTTTTTTTAATTTGGCGTTTTAAGTGCGGTGTGCAGGACCGTGGCTGACTAACCTCGTCATTAAACCAGGATAGAAAAACAAGTCAATTTCCCAAGAGCTCGGGCAACTTTGATGAATAGTGAAATTTATCGCTGAAATCTTTTCTAAGGATCCTCTACCACGCAGTACCAGTTAACCGAGGACCGGATATAAATGGCGTTTGATGAAAAAAAAAGAATAATAATTTTAAAAAAGTAAAAAAGACTAAATAAAAATTTGGGACTACTAGATGTAAATAGGGACTAATAGTCGAAAAATTACCCTAAAATGACAAAAGATGGGGCCGTGTTAGTATCTTTGAAGTATTTTCATTAATTTGAAAAAAAAATCATGTTGTCGATAAAGGCTCCCAGTGGTAAGGTGTAAGGTGTATCTTAAAATTATCATTTTTCTAAAAAGTTTTTAAATATTGACCTACGATAATGGATATTTCGAGGAATATGCCGTCAGTAGCCTGTACGCAAATATGTGGCCCTCACTAATTAGAAAATAATAGACGAAGACAAAAATATCTTTCGTGCGATAAGTTACAGTTGGATAAACAAACAAGCGAAATTAAAGCACTTAACCGCACTAACATGCGTGGTATGCCCGTTAATACAAACAGACTGTCAACTGATTGCGCAGGCAACTAAAATGCGTTAGGTGAGATAGCTAAGCGCAATGTGCCGGACTCTCTAGTCTTGATCAGTATAGCAAGCGCACCGAAATGGAACTCTCCATTACCACAAGAATATTTCAGTAGGGGGCACATCTGTCTTCAGTCTCAGTCTGCAATCTTCAGTTATCCCGAGAATAACGATACAGTGAACCAATTGACTTCATATACTTTAATGAGCAATGAAATGTTTCAATTAGGCCTACAATTAAAAAAAATAATAATAATAAGCATTACTGAGAAAAAGAAAATAAAGCGTTCTACTATTAACATATCTTGAAATTTGTCGCAAATGCTTATTCTCAATTGATTAAGAACTAAATCCATTGCACAGCTAACTTTACAAATCTGTATGTGTAATGAACTTAGACTTCTAAATAGATTTGACATAAAGAATGAGAAGTACCTAATCCACATAATGGCTAAATTAAACGAGGATATTAAAGAATGAAACAATGACGTACATGCGTCATACTTTCCTAGATAAATCCATACTTCAAAATGATAAATACGATGATCAACTGCATCTAACAAGATATTGAATTACGTCACTTGATATACTCTGTATAAAATTAATTAAGCCCCCTGGGCTTATATGTCGCCAAGGTGTTTGGAATTTGATTTCGTTAAAAAATAATGGATCTTTTTCCAAGTCAAGAGTACGTACACGTCCACAGAAAAATACGTGGCCGAACCTACGATAACTAGTATTTGCATTCACATGTAAGTGTCGTGTGGCCGTTATCCCAGGATTACACTGACACGTGTACTTTGAGCGAGATATTTTCTAGGCCTATCTTATAACTATGAAGCCCAATTCATATCATGGTTATAAAAGTAACCAGACAACTGTGCATCTCGTACTAATAGTTATCTGTATTCACTGTGCTATTGCTATGAATAATAAATACCATGTTTAGCCTATATACCACGGACAAATGTGTGTACTTTTATTTTGTCACCATTTTGTCATAATTGTACTTGTCAAACTTGGGCGTAACGATACAATGTTTAAAAAGCATGTGAGGCGTAGTTTTGTTTCGAATTAAGCGATATGCTTGTAATTCAATATAGCGAAAAAAAAAACTCCTAAACTCCTTCACTTCAGTTCACACAATTTGGCATATATCAATGGCAATGAATTACTGAACAGCCCAAGTTAACGAATACCACTCGAAAACTGAGTAAAATGTAATGTTCTGACTGAATTAGGTGGATTTTACTTGAGATATTGTTGAAATCGAGTCCCTGGCGTATTCCGATGCAATGTGCGACCTCTGCGATATATAAGATGTTGATGTCTTTTAGACTCTGAGAGTACTGCTGCAAATTATTTTATAAACGAAGAATCTATCGTTAGTCTAGGTTTTAAAAAGTTGCTCTTTTTGTCGACTTTGTTTTCAAACCAAAATTACAAAATGAAAAGTAGTTTTTAAAGTGAGTGGATATTTAAAAAAAAAGAATAAGATAAGCATTTCTGAGAAAAACAAAATCAAGCGTTCGACAATTGGCATATCTTGAAATTTGTTGCATTAATGATTATTCCTAAATTAATAGGAAAAACCCATTAGATTTATGACAGTTTCCATTAAATAAAACGTATTAATCGATAAAATATCTGCTTTACAATGCAAGTTTATGGCACTAATGGTATCAAGATCTACAGAGGTCAGGCAATTTTTTTTTTTTTTTTTTTTTTTTTTTGAGTTTACTGAAAGGAGAAATCGTACAATATAGCCGTGAGGCCATCTTGAAAGTCTTTATCCAAATCGTAAATAGAACCATTTCCGTCCCTTACTGGTCCAGAAATTCTTCTTATTTGTTAAAACACCTAGAACGGACATCGTAACAGCTTAATGGGTGTTTTACGACTCACCTCGGGAGATCTAAGTGAGACTACAACACGGCGGTAGAGTATAAAAAGATGTCTCGTTATCGCTCTGTGCCTCTTTTAAATTGACGCAAGCTGTGCGCCATATACTGGTGTCGGTGCTGTGAAATTTGAAGGTATTTTGGTCTTAACCAAATAACAAAATGGCTCGATTTTTGACGTTTCTTTGCTTGGCTGTGGTTTTCTTGGCAGTTGTGGAGGTTTCCATTGGAGCTGGAGGGTAAGGGATCCGTCACATTAGTATTTCTAGGCATTAATTCAATTTCTCTCTCTCTCTCTCTCTCTCTCTCTCTCTCTCACACACACACACACAAACACACACACACACACTCGCATATACGCTCTTTCTCTCATTCTCTCTATAAAAAAACGCACGCGCGCTCTCATGCTCGTACACTCTTTCTCACTCAAACAGTCGCGCGTGCACACACACACACACCATTTAATCTATCCACACTTGCATTCACTGAATTGCGCCGTAACTTGAATTAAGTGTAATAATGTTCTCTTGTGTTCCACTCTAGTAGTTCGCACCGCAGACGTGGATACGGATACAGCGGAGGGCGTGGATATGGCGGTGGANGGGCGTTTGATGAAAAAAAAAAAAAAAAAAAAAAAGAATAATAATTAAAAATAAATAAATAAAAAAGACTAAATAAAAATTTGGGACTAATAGATGTAATATTGCATGGTAGTCGAAAAATTACCCTAAAATGACAAAAGATGGGGCCGTGTCAGTATCTTTGTAGTATTTTCATTAATTTGAAAAAAATCATGTTGTCGATAAAGGCTCCCAGTGTAAGGTGTATCTTAAAATTATCATTTTTCTAAAAAAGTTTTTTAATATTGACCTACGACAATGGATATTTCGAGGAATATGCCGTCAGTAGCCTGTACGCAAATATGTGGGCCTCACTAATTAGAAAATAATAGACGAAGACAAAAATATCTTTCGTGCGATAAGTTACAGTTGGATAAACAAACAAGCGAAATTAAAGCACTTAACCGCACTAACATGCGTGGTATGCCCGTTAATACAAACAGACTGTCAACAGATTGCGCAGGCAACTAAAATGCGTTAGGTGAGATAGCTAAGCGCAATGTGCCGGACTCTCCAGTCTTGATCAGTATAGCAAGCGCACCGGAATGGAACTCTCCATTACCACAAGAATATTTCAATAGGGGGCACATCTGTCTTCAGTCTCAGTCTACAATCTTCAGTAACTTATCCCGAGAATAACGATACAGTGAACCAATTGTCTTTATATACTTTAATGAGCAATGAAATGTTTCAATTAGGCCTACAATTAAAAAAAAATAATAATAAGCGTTTCTGAGAAAAAGAAAATAAAGCGTTCTACTTTTAACATATCTTGAAATTTGTCGCAAATGCTTATTCTCAATTGATTAAGAACTAAATCCATTGCACAACTAACTTTACAAATCTGTATGTGTAATGAACTTAGACTTCTAAAGAATGAGAAGTACCTAATCCACATATTGGCTAAATTAAACGAGGATATTAAAGAATGAAACAATGACGTACATGCGTCATACTTTCCTAGATAAATCCATACATAATAAATACAAATATTAAGCCAATTTCATATCATGGTAATAAAAAATAACCAGACATTTCTGCATCTAGATCTCGTACTAATAGTTATCTGTATTCAGTGTTGCCTTTGCTATGAATAATAAATACCCTGTTTAGCCTATATACCACGGACAAAGTTGTGTACTTTTATTTTGTCACCATTTTGTCATGAATTGTACTTGTCTGACTTGGGCTCAACGTATTAGGTGAATTTTACTTTGGATATTGTATGTTGGCATTGAGCGCCTGGCGTATTCCGATGCAATGTATTACCTCCGTTACATATAAGAAATCATTTTATTTAAACGAAGAACCTATCGTTACTCTAGATTAAAAAGAGTTGCTCTTTGTCGACTTTGTTTTTAAGCCAAAATTACACAGTGAAAAATAGTTTTTAAAGTGAATGGATATTTTTTAAAAATGATAAAATTAACATTGCTGAGACAAAGAAAATTAAGAGATCGACAATTAGCATATCTTGAAATTAGTTGAATTAATGTTTATTCCCAAATAATTAGGAGTAAAATTCATTAGATTTATAACAGTTTCCATTAAATAAAACGTATTAATCGATAAAATATCTGCTTTACAATGCAAGTTTATAGCACCAATAGTATCAAGAGGGAGAGGCCAGGCGATTTTTTTTTTTTTTTTTTTTTTTTTTTTTTTTGAGTTTACTGAAAGGAGAAATCGTACAATATAGCCGTGAGGCCATCTTGAAAGTCTTTATCCAAATCGTAAATAGAACCATTTCCGTCCCTTACTCGTCCAGAAATTCTTCTTATTTGTTAAAACACCTAGAACGGACATCGTAACAGCTTAATGGGTGTTTTACGACTCACCTCGGGAGATCTAAGTGAGACTACAACACGGCGGTAGAGTATAAAAAGATGTCTCGTTATCGCTCCGTGCCTCTTTACATTGACGCAAGCTGTGCGCCATATACTGGTGTCGGTGCTGTGAAATTTGAAGGAATTTTGGTCTTAACCAAATAACAAAATGGCTCGATTTTTGACGTTTCTTTGCCTGGCTGTGGTTTTCTTGGCAGTTGTGGAGGTTTCCATTGGAGCTGGAGGGTAAGGGATCCGTCACATTAGTATCTCTAGGCATTAATTCAATTTCTCTCTCTCTCTCTCTCTCTCTCTCTCTCACACACACACACACACACACACACACACGCATATACGCTCTTTCTCTCATTCTCTCTATAAAAAAACGCACGCGCGCTCTCATGCTCGTACACTCTTTCTCACTCAAACAGTCGCGCATGCACACACACACACACCATTTAATCTATCCACACTTGCATTCACTGAACTGCGTCGTAACTTGAATTAAGTGTAATAATGTTCTCTTGTGTTCCACTCTAGTAGTTCGCACCGCAGACGTGGATACGGATACAGCGGAGGGCGTGGATATGGCGGTGGATATGGTGGCGGTCGACGCGGATACGGCGGGTATGGTGGATACGGCGGCGGATATGGTGGAAATAGAGGATACGGCGGTGGATATGGTGGAAATAGAGGATATGGTGGCGGCGGGTATGGTGGAAATAGAGGATACGGCGGTGGATATGGTGGAAATAGAGGATACGGCGGTGGATATGGTGGAAATAAAGGATATGGTGGTGGATATGGGGGGTACGGCAGTGGATACGGACAAGGCCATGGGTACAGTCGTGGCTACAGAAACTACGGTCACCAGACCTATGAGTACGGTCACTATGGAGACGGGGGTTATGGCGGCGGTTATCATTAATAAATGGGTAAGAGAGAGAGAGAGAGAGAGAGAGAGAGAGAGAGAGAGAGAGGGGAGAAGAAGGCTGTAGAAAGATATGAAAATAAATTTGGATTTGAAATTAGGATTAAGCGCGTAAAGATAAAGTGCTACTTCATTGCAATATCAAAAAGAAAAAAGTGCCCGTGACATGATATTTGAAGCTAAAATAAAATCTTTTTTATTTGATCATTTCGCGTTTCTGAAATAAAAGGATAAAGGTAGACGATAACTCTCACGCTTCGTCGAACTAACTTTTATGAAGCGGAACAGCTAGATTATTATTATTTAACAATAATGCAGCCATGATTAAACCTAAACCAGTGGTCGGACGCGATGTACCGGTCAGTATTTTTTGTGATAACTGAAAGACGTGCATTCAGTTGAGTGTGACAGTGTTATTACAAAATTATTTTTTTCACACTTGAAGGGATTTGCAATGTATCTGGTAGCCTGGTGCGGCTCACTTCGTATCACACCATGGCGGTGCCTGCAAATTAATAAAGCCATCATGTGCAAAAATGATTTACCTGGGGCAAGACGAAGACCACTGGCACGCGTCTTTTCTGTAGTCTCACACACACACACACACACACACACACACACACACACACAGAGAGAGAGAGAGAGAGAGAGAGAGAGAGAGAGAGAGAGAGAGATGTCTGTAGTACCAAGAGCAAAATTATTAATTTGTGTGTGAAATGAAATTCATTTAGTAAGATTGATGGTCATTTCCATAGCAAAACAGAGGCATTATGACAAGTTGTATTTCAAGTCGTAAACTCTCTTTGTATGCACTCTGCTTCAGTTCCCTTTTTAACAGTGCAGTCACAGGAAAGGTGACCCCTTGAATTTTATTGGATTATCTGTTGTAAACGCTGTTGGGTTTTAAATATATTTTATTGCAATCGTTGCTGTTTGATGTAAATCGTAAAATTAATCATGAATATTTTCTACTTCAGGCGGCTCTATGTGTTAAATGATGGCATAAGCGATTGACAAGGAAGATAATATAAAGATGCTTTGATGACAATCAAAATGATGACTTTTCTGGTGACATTGCAGTGCAGTTGTACTTGGTGTTGAAAAGTATAGAATACAGCTCCTGGGATCTAAGATGTAGGATAAAGCCACTGTCTCTTTCACATGCTGGTTATAATGTAATTATCAGGACAGTCATTTATGTCTCCTTTTTGATAAACCTCAATAAATCCGATGTGTTGCCGTTCTAACGCAGTTGTTGTTATTATTAGATTTCTGTACACGTTATACTGAAATACGTCCTTACTCGCAAAGAAGAAGTTGAAGGATTGTCTTTTAAACGAAAAATGAATGTGTTGGAATGGAGAAATGATACATTTAGGTAATGATGCTTTCAGGTAAAAATTCTGAATTATGAGCCTCTCTTTGATGGAGTACTTTTCACGAAGCAACTTTTCGTTTTAGGCAAGGTAAACGGGGTCGGTAGCTTTTTTAAAGTGATGTTAAAGGTCGGTCGTAATTATTTTTTTTAAATTTATTTTAATTTTTTTTTTTATCAAATCAACGATCCATGCATTTTACCCATTTAAAAAAAGGTGCAAAAAATATTCAATTTCTTCAAAATAAAGGCCGGTTGCGCGCGTTAATCAACTTTCCAATTTTAAATTTGTCTGGCCTTGCCTTCACACTTAACGTTTCCCGTAGGTTCAGTTTCCCCACGGTCTCCGTGCGTCGTGTTTGGGTAAACAGATCGCGGAATATTATTTCTCATTCAAAGTTTGAGATGCTATTTGAACATGACTTCTACATGAAGTAATAGATGATAGTTTAAAATTATAAACAACTGCCTCACGGTTGGATTTTGAAATACATAAATCTTTGCAATTGTTACGATCTCGACTTTCCATACCATCTTTTGATTTTATTTTGAATTTTTCTTTAGTAAACTTCATTCTCAAGCCAGGGGCTGTATTGCAACACCGTTCTGCCGATGTGATCCATATCTATACCGGTTCTTGGCCTGTGAGTGCATGGAGTGCGTCTTGCAATCTTTGATAGGATGGGTAACTCAGGCAACACCGCAAGTTATGTTGTCAATACTGCATGTTGCTTAACTTTTAGTATTGTCTCAGTAGTTTGATCGCATCAAGTAAGCTGTAGCCAGTTATTGATGTACGTTTGTTTGTCAAATGTTGCCAAATATGAATCAAAGAATAAGCGGTGTTTGGACTGTTTATAAATTTTATTACATCATTGACGATCATTTTACATGAATGAGCAGTCAGTACGAACTTGGATTCCAAAGGGTCCATTTTCAACGTACAAAAAAGTTTCTATTATTTCTGTGGTGTCGGTAAAGCCAAATCTTGATGGCTGTGGACTTGAATGCCCTACTGCTATGATGACTTTATCGATGAAGACGATGTTGCAATTTTCTCGTCAAGATGCTGTGAAGTAACGCAAGTACTAAAAAAGAAAATGATCTTATTTTATATCATAACATACTCCGAAATGACAAGGGTAGCTCGCTTTGATGAAGGGGCGTACAAAAGAGACTAATGTTTATCCTCAGTGTTGCGTTTCTTGTTTTCGTAATTTTGTGCATGGTTTAACCAGTAATATTTCAATAGACTGCATAAATTGGGATGGGGCACGATTCTAATATCAAAGTAATATAGTCCCTTTCTTAATTTCAAAATTTCAAATTGCTCGCAAGTTTTTTTCATAAGCTAACTCACATTTTGGATGAGATATCCAAATTGACAGGCATTGATACAGCGAAAAGAGTAAATATGGAATAAATTAATCTTTTTACCTTTTTATTCATATTTACCTTAGTATGGGTAGTATTTGCCTTTGCTGTCGTAGCCGGAATTTCTGTAATCTTTGCCGTAACCATCGGCATTATAGTAGCCAGCATCACCTGGGAAGTATCCATCTTTAAACCCGTCCCCACGGTAGACGCCACGGTAACCATCTCCACGGTAGTTATACCCATAGCCGCTATATCTGCCGTAACCATAGTTACCCTTGTATCCATCCGCGTAGGCCCCGACGTAGCCACGGTACCTAAGAAGAAAAGGGGAGGAGAGTTAAGTTTGTACAGTCGGTAGGCTTTGATTTTTTTGAGCGATTTCTCCTATAAAATTGGCATTATTTTTGCTACATGCATCAATTTAATCTCAATTCAAAAATAAAACAGTCCAACGTTTAAGTAGTAAAAATTTAAAGAAAAGACAACCTGACGCTGTGACTTACCCGCGTCTGTATGGTGTTGGCTTGTAGTAAGTAGCCGACACAACAGCCACGAGGAGGGCAAGGACAACAAACTTCATCATCTTGTTGAAGATCTGATGTACAGCAAAGATAGAACTCGGTGTCGTCTGCAGGATGGCTTGGACTGTGAGTGAAGAGCCGGAGAAGTTGTGGTGTTTTATACCTGCTGCAGTAATCACCTTGCATGTTGTGGAGAGCTTGACTTTTCAAGATAGCCATAACGACCCCGGCTGATTCTGGTAATTTTATCTGAATTACACTGTAATTGCGATTATATACCACGTAAATGTTTTTATTGATAAGAGACGCCCAATAACTAGCCTAAACATAGTATCAACAATGATACGTTGTGGTTTGAGAGATAAGTCTATGCAACCACGGGGGACAGATCCAGTCTGAAGACCTCAGAAACAAAAGATGTTTGTCAACATGATACCGGCAATAAGAGTTATCTGAAATTTAAGCCAAATGTTGTTGAAATTGGATTTCAAATATGAATTTCTATACTATTCTTTTATTTCCTTTTTTGTATAAGGTATGAATAATTTAAACGAATTGCATGTTTAAAATGCATAATCAAATATGTCGTAGCATCATTTTACTTTGCGTTTTGTAACGACAAAATGAATGTTTTTATTATTCACGCAGCAGTTTTATAAGTAAAATTTTGTAACAAAGTGGAATATCTATGAGGGTGTATAATGAGAACATCTGTTTCGAGTTCTTTAATAGGCGCTTCATTAAATTACCGCAATAAGGTCGCACCCCAGATTGATCGAGAGTTCATCAAAATATTCAATTAATCTGCTATCTCTCAACATTTTTCTTCAATTATTTCTAAAGACAACAAGATATAAACTGATATATCGAGTCTTTACACCTTTGACGACCGGGTAAACATATACTTATCATATAGGTGGTACAGCATCAGATTTTTAACTCGGGGAATATGGCATTTAAAAGTGTTTTTGTTAAAAAACGGTGCAGGCGATAGCGATGTGACACACCTCTCACTTCACACTGGAATGACGGTGACAGTAACCACAAATTGTGTCAATAAATATCCGAAATGGAGGGCCAGATGCAATCTACATGATAGCTAAGGATTTGAGATGATTATCGCGTTCTAAGTTGAAATTTTGGAGTGATTGCAGTCATTTTACTACCGAAGAAGTTTGTTAGCAGGCAAGGCACTTCTTTGAAAATTTGCTGGAAAAGTTGTTTTTTAAAATCACTTCTCTTTTCTCATTTTTTTGTCTTCTGATACTTTGGATAATATTTGGTTGAAGAAAATATGTTTGAAAGGTGTCGGGAATAGCTATCTGTTCGTATAGATGTAAAAGCAGTAGTCCGCCCTGTGCAGCAATCAGGCAGAAGTTTTATAAAAATTTCGCAAGTTTTATAAGCATCTAAGTTAAAGAGAATTTGATATTTATCGATATTAATTATAATTGCTAGTCATAATTGCTCCCCCTCCTCTCTCTGTTGCAGCACTACAATCTGGGGCGTAGTTTTTTTCAGTAGCCTAATCAAAATCATTCAAAGTTAATGAGACGTAGAAAAAGTCTTAGTTGTTCGGAAGGAATCACACATCTGAGTTCTTTCTCTTGGCCAGAACGGCGAGATAAAAAATTCTAACCTCAACTTACACAAAGGGATCAATTTTCGAAAAAATGTAGCCTTAATTTTATTTAAATGACCCGTTAACATCTAAAGTCGTTATTTCATATCTTTCGTGTATAAAACAATCGTTGAAATAAAAGAGCGATGATTCGACTACCTCTTAGTCATATTAAACGGAATTGTTGTCCAAATAAACAAAAATTGACCAAAAGACCTGGCATCCATTTGATTTCCTTAAATTGCAGTTGATATCAACAAACAAAGCCCATTATTTTTGCCATTTTAACCTACGCCAGGCCCCATCAAGCCTTAGCTCAAGCGATCATAAACGGATTTTTAGCGCGAAAAGTACAATTTTTAGTTGTAGCCGACAATTCCTCCATCTGACTCTAAACTATACAATATCTTTTAATCATCCATTTTCAAAACCACGTTTTTTTCTTCACTTGCTGAAAACTAAACGAACGATTACGTGCCTTTCTTCCATTTTCATTCCTGCCTCCAGCACTGGTGATATTCACATCATTTGTGAGGCGTGTTACATGAATTTGACCATCATTACGGACCATTACTGACAATCGATAAAGACTAACAACAAGATTAGGGACAATTTAAATTGCTAGTATCACATCTCCCCAATCTACGGACGGTGGGATATCCATGAGCGCATTAACAAGTAGGCCTAAATACGTGGATAAAGAGATCCGCGAACTAGCCTACATGTTGCAGACCCACTTTAAAGTAATGCCGACTAAAGCCCTGATGGACTCGGAGCGGAAATTTAACCCGTTCAATGTCGCGTGTGGAGGCGGGGAGACTATCAGGGGATTAGGGCGGCTAGCTTTTTAGTGGGGTCAGCCATATGTTTAGTCAGTTAGTCCGCGGATAATCTGTTCTGAATCCACTGTATGACTCATAGAAAACTGATCACACGTACATTTATTATACGTAATGAAGTCATGCTTGTACCATCTTTTCTTCGGGTAACCAGTAGGGCCTAAAGCTACTTCGTGCAATGCACTTTTACACAACGCCTCATTTTACATTTAAAAATACCGTGTTCGTATTTAATAAATACTGGTATGAATGTAATTTTATAAATAGGCCCATAAATGGCAGGGATGTGTTTGATAGGGATAAAGTCTTTTTCTGAAAAGACAAACCATCCAGCATCATAGTGAAGGTGTACTTATAAAGACTTATAGAAGCAGTTAAAATCGTCATGGCCCTTCGCTAGGAGACAGCGAACCGGAAGCAGCGCAATTTGAATGCGTAGTAAAACTAATATGGCTGACTGCAGGTTAGTGACATGTAAACAAAGATTTTTTAAAAAGATTTCATTCTAATGGACCAAGCTGAGGACAGGAAATGCCTTACCCGCTCTTATAGAAATTGTATGGTAGCCCGGGGGAATAAGAATATACACTTTAATTTGAAACATTGGTAGATCTAACGTAACAAGTTAGAATTATATTTTGAAATTGGGATTACTGATTATACTGTACCAGTGTGAGACCCGTTATGCGCTGTCAGCAGAGACTGGGCGTGTAGATCAAACCTGGTAAATTGATTATGAAATGCGACATAGGTAACCATGTGTATAGTTACTGATCTCTACAATTGCTAATCTATATGTATATATTTATTTATTTATTTATCTATCTATTTATTTGTCTGTTCTATGTTCTAGCCACTAGTACCGTACTGTAATTGATTGTACCTTTATGTGAAGGTGTTTGTCAATAAAGAATCCATATACTGGTACAAGTCATAAGGCAAGGTAAGAATTTTTTCTCAATGTTTTCAGATGCATAAGCTGACCCAAAGATATTTCTATATTTATCTGAGCTTTTTGAGACAACCTGGACATGGAGTTATATGGAGAATCTGGCATCACAGCGTTAGCTAATTTACTGACTCCAAACACTGCAGACTCGGACAGTGATGAAGATACCAAGGTGGGTAAAGAGAAGTACCAGCTGAACAGCATATCTAAACTATAAACATTGAAATATGCAGTTGTATGCAGGCACCATATACTTTTATGTTGAACATAACTCCACAGATAGTTAAATGTTGATGATGTTTGGAAATTTAATGAGCATGTTTTTAATGTGTTTGCACCAGAGGCTGTCAATATAAGGACATCAATATTTATATATACCTGATTTTATGAATGAAAATGTGAATGCACTTTACACCCCAAAATACCTGGAGGGTTGCTGTGGATTTTAATTATCATTTGAAATAAAATAAGATTATAAGCACAGATTTTTAATGTTAAGAGTACTTGTCATTTATTGAGATGTAAATCTATTATAGTACTGCATGCAAGCTTGTGTAAATGTTAAAGATGTTAAGTATTAAAGGTCCTTTTTTTAGCCTGGTGGGATAACAAAACTCGGCCCTGGGGACATAGGACCAAAACAAAGTACTCAGCCAGCAGGTTAGTAATGCATTTCCCTGGGGTATTATATCCAAGGTCACCAGCATTTCCCTGGGGTATTATATCCAGGGTAACTAATGTTATACCCATGCCATAAGTGACAGAATGTGTCATCATTTTGAAATTGGAAGTATTTTTAAAATATTCTTATTGATTGATAAGTTGAAAACATTTGCCATAAGATGAAAGAACTTTTTTGATGTTTTCAATTTGAGATAAACTCCTGTTTGAATTTGTAATGTGTAAATCCTTTTAGGATTTTGTTTATGCTACTAAATCATTTATTTAGAGTCACAGCTGAAGACAGTGAAGAAAGAAGGCAAAGATATTTGGGAAGAAGAAGAGGTACAGGAGGGGGCAGAATATGATGATATCCATGACACACGGCCCCAGCCACAGTATGTATATCCATGATACATGGCCCCAGCTACTGTATGTATATCCATGACACACGGCCCCAGCCACAGTATGTATATACATGATACACGGCCCCAGCCGCAGTATGTATATCCATGATACATGGCCCCAGCCACAGTATGTATATACATGATATACGGCCCCAGCCACATTATGTGCTTCTAACACACATCACTATTGGCCCTTAAATCATACGAGGCACAAATTTTCATTAATCTGGTGATCTAGGCCAGAACACCAGTAAGCATAAGTGCATATTTTCACAAGAGGAATTTAGATGTTATGTGTACTTTATGAGTATTTGAATAAATAAGTATAATAAGTTAAATGAGTATTTGAATAACGTTTTACTACCATATTACCTCTGTTTTTAATTTCTTTTCCGTTCATTATACTGCTGCAGTGTGTAGTGTTTTGATAATAATTATGACTAGTATTGCTGATGGCAGTATGCTTTCATATTCATTGTATTTCTTACAGGTATGAAATCATATACAAGCAAGCAGTAACATCAGAGGACATGTTTCTTGGAATGGGAAATAAAACTCCTGCAACATCCAGTTGTGAAGACATGGTGGTAAGTGTTTCCACCCCCCCAACCCCCCCCATCCCTCTTTCCCCCGAACTCTTGTTGTAAAGACTATCCTCCATGTGTTCTAGGATTGCCGATTTCCAATAAAACTATGATTTCTTCCCTTTTGTTTCATTCATTTATAGTACTAGTGCCACGAAAAAAGCTTCAAAAGATAGCATTCAACACACTGAACAGTGTTTAAGAGAGTGAATCATGTTATCTTTATTGCTTTACCTGCACTCACAATGTCATTCTGTCTTTTGTTAGACATTCAAAATCTTTGCCATAAAATGTGTTAGGACAAGGTTTGCATTATAACCATGGGTTAGAGTTGCCCCTGTCAAGTCATTAGTATTTTAAAACATGTGTCTCATTGTGCTGAATGCTTTTTCTTGCATTAGGTGAAAGTGATGCTTCCAGACACGAAATACCCAGATGTCAATCTCAATGTTACCAACAAATACCTGGACTGTCGCACACCTAGACTGTAAGTTTTAACTCAATGTAACAAACAAATACCTGAGATAAGAAAAGAACCAAATTAAAAGTTCAAGTGAACAAAACTTAAATGCAAAACTATACGTTTTATTTTCACAATATTAAAGCAAAATATGGACCACCTCTGTGTTGAGTCATTGAGTCACGAAAAGGCTTTGATACTCTACTTCAAGCCTTTTATGTTTTTCTCTGCTTAAAGATATTGTTTGCAGAGAAGATAACAGTTATCCCTTGGTTATATTTTGCATTGCTCTTTATAAATTAATGAATGAATGCACAAAATGAAAGTTTGAATTTGAACACAAACATGTATGGAAATGTTTTCAATATTGAAATCAGAGGGACCGTTTGCACTTCCCCTCATTTGAACATTTCTCCTTGATCATTATGTGGAACTCACATTGGTGTCAAGTTGCTGCAAAACATGTTTTGTACATGGATAATACTGTGCATTTTTGAACTACAAGTTGCTGCAGAACATCTTTGTACATAGATAATACCAAATGCATTTTTTCAGTTGGGCCTTAATGGTATATCTACATGCCATAACTTTTAAATCAGTCACAATGCAACATCAAATAGGTAGTTACCTCTCAACAATTTTAAAAAGACAGGCAGTGATCTTTCAAATGACTACTCTGTTTTTAGGCGTCTTGGTCTCCACCTTCCTCACCCAGTGGACGCCAAGAATGGCAAGGCTCAGTGGGACGGAGACAAGGGTGTACTGACCATCACCCTGAGGATGACCAGGGATTATGATGATTTTAATTTCTGAGGAGTGTGTTAGAAACATACCTGTTGGAACTCCTTGATGTGGGTAAGACTGAGAATTTATACAAAAGGGGGGAAGCATTGCAGTTACTAATACTAGCAATCAGTGCTGCTACCTCCAATAGGGAAATAGGTGATTGATACGCACTTCAAACCAAAGAGGTTTACAGGAGAGAGGGAATATTGTTGCTTAAACAAATGACCTTTTGTGATTGTATAAAGACAATTAACATTACAAGCTATTAGGAAAGTTAATTGATACTGCTGTTACTGACATGTGGAGATCTCTACAACTGGGGAATGTTTGTCAACAAACAGTTTGTATGTTTAAGCAAAACGGAGAGGAAATATTATATCATATTTAGCAGATCAACGTGGACCAATGATTTTGTTCAGGATTTGAAAGTGATTAAGGTTTAACAGCAAAATGCTTTGTCAATTTGCCATAAATTATTTAAAGTGCAGTGCCTTTATGGTAAAAAAACTTAAGTCGAAGGTCACATGGTCCCCATGTTAAAATCATTCTTTTATATAATGTTTCTGTATATTAAGCCGTCCAAAGAATAACATCATTCCAAGTATCAATAAAATGTTTATTTATAATGAATACATCTGGTTTCTTAAATGCAATATGCACTAAGTATAAACTTGGTGCCACAGTTGATATTAACAAACTATCTTGTATATAAAATACAATTATTATTACTTCTACAGCTTTACCTTGTCAATTCTCTGTAAACAATACTTCACATAAAGCTTTTAAGTATCTTAAGTTATGCAAAAACAAATAAATGGAAATTAAAAAAGAAATATGATGCTAATGTTACAAAATAAAGCAGCAGAAAAAAGGCAAAAATATCCCTGTACACAAGTAATTTCAAGCTTACAACTGAACTACATTATAACATTGTTCCTTACTTAAGGCCTGATGTCTTAGATTCATTTGTGACAACATAACAGAGTATGCTAGCAGGGCTTTTGTAACTTATGATCTAAATATTACTACATGGCTGCTCAATACATCTACTGCCTCAAGCACACCCCCTGCCTACATTAAGCACCTGCAGCACAGCCATTATGACTGGTGACAACATGACTTCTTATACTGAACATCTACATGTGTGACTGACCTATACAACAGCTGTTGTGATTCCTTGATGCTGTAACATCTTTCCAAGAGCAAGTATCAGATTGTATTTTTTCTGTCCTTTGTCTTAATCCCAATAACAAAGAGAAGTTCCTTTGCTTCTAAATTATTTTTATGACAGAATCTAGTCAAAACATTCCACTTTCTTTCAGAAAGTTTGGTATTATAATTGTGACACTTCTTTGTTCTGCTACCTCTTAGATGTGTTTCTTGTATTACTACTGGTGTCTTCATCAACATATACACAATGAGGAAAGAATTCTTCTCGCTTAGCATTCATGTAACTGGAAATGTGAAGGAAAGTAATAATAAAAACATACAAGAAACATAAAGAGCTTTAAAAAATATTTTTCTCCAGAATTTAATCATTACATAAGGATTTGGCTATCAATACAAATTACTGATCTTATTCAAAAATGAATTTTGTTTACAGTATACTCACTCTAAAAATAGCCCCAAGTGCTTTAAAAGAACATTCATTTTCCTCTCGGGGATGCCCATCTTACACAAAAGGTCTGGAAGTTTTACTGAAATTAAAAAATAAAAGTTGTTTTTAATGTGGGTTTAAAATATGTATCCGTCTTCTATACTGCAAACTAAACAGCCTTTTCATATAATTTCTCGTTAAATCTCACCCATTGTGTCTATATGCTTTGTTATGCACATTTCATTTCTAATGTTTACTATTTATAAATCCTTAATTCTCACCAAATAACCGTAACAGGTGGTGTGCCCCATAGACAGCAGAGGGAGCCACTGGTGTTTGTGTGAAAATCTCTGGCGGAACAAGTTTCCAAGTCAAGACTTCATTCAAGACGGCCTCTCTGTCTGGCGGAGTCTTCCGTCCTCCAGCATGTTTCAGTTTAGAACTTCCACTTCCAGAAGAGGAGGAGGAACTGGCATTTGTGGAGATAGAATTTGGAATGAGTAACGGTGGAGGGGGAGTTGCTCGTCCTACTGGCACAGTCTCTGCTTCGCTCAGTGCTGCCACTCGATGACTGGATCGCAAGGACCCCCTGCGTTTAGGTTCTGTGACCCCTTTATCTTCAAGTGTCAAGTCAGGCATTTTTTCACTCTTATTTGAGTCCCCAGAGAGTCTTGTAGCATCTGCTGCATTTAAGCGACCTCTAGTGAGCCTTCTAGGAGTTGGGACATCTTTCTCTTGTTTAACGTTAAAATGTTCTTTTTCCTTTTCTTTTTCTAATGCTGTGAACTTTGCAACTTTTGACGGAGGGGACTCATGAAATGAGGGAGAATTTGGCACTGACCCTCTTCCTGATCTGGTACATCTTGTTGGAGAATGGAGGGGGGCCAACTTCTGACACTCTGTCCTGAAAACAGAATCATCACACTGAATGCTTACTGACAACTCTCAAATAACACAGATAAATGTACAAGCAATTAATTATGGTATGAATTTACATAAAGTCTTGTGAAAATACTTGAAAAGGTTCCAAATTATCAAATTCAGGCACTACATATTTGATCAGAGAAATTCTAGAGGGAAACTTTTTCTAATTCTTATATTAAATCTAATATGAATTGCCATCTCTTCCAGAGGCAACAGTTGTCCATTTCTGATAAAGTTCAAATTATTAGTGCAATACCAAGCTTATAAACAATGTCAGTATTAAACATCTGCTTACTTTTCTTTCTTGGTAGACATGAGTGGTTTATAATTGTTGACTACCTTCTCATACTGTTCTCTCTCCAGGTTGTAAAGTAATATGGTGGGGAGGGTAAAATCAAAGCAGATCCTCAAACCTTCAACTACCTCCTTGCACAGATTAACACTGAAGTTGGAGAACGGTGAAATTCAATTCATTGAGACTACACTTTGAGGAAATACTATGATAATGAGCCATTCAATTTTTGGTTGAGAGCATTTGTACTATATAACATTCTATATTTTCATTTTTCTGTTAAAAACATCACATCTCATCTAAACTCTCAAAAAACAAAGTTGGAAGGAAACTAGTGGACAATTTCAAGCTCTCTAAAATAAAACTGTAAATGAGTACAGCTATTTAATACTGAGACTTCACTTCTACTGAATTAAAAGCAAACTGCAAGTTCATAGTTGTCAAGTTTTAAACATCATAATCCCCAGTCATATTCCAGATCATTGCACAATTTAAGACCTGCTTGATTTTAATTACTTAAGTTTTCAAGCCAGCCAGTAAGTTACCATTCTGTATGTCCGTGTCTGGCTGCTTTATGAGGAGTGGAACAAAGCAGGTTGATTGCATAATTCTTGACATAACTCTCCAGAAGACTGACCACATTGGGCTCAGCAGGTAAATGGACCAACTGAAAGATAATAACACCAACAGTCATACAGGAATTTCATCTGCAAAACACTCGATCAAGATTGGACAAATATATTACTATAGCCACACAATAAACCCTAGAGAACAAAAAAGATTACCTGTGAGAAATGAGCCCCAATCTGATGCCCTGGATTATAAAAAAGCTGACCCATCTTTAATGTTAAACCTGCAAAAACACCAGTTTACCTTTTTCTTTCTATTTATGAAATGAAAGTCATTTTCAAGTTGGCTCTTCAGTGGATCTGGTATTTCAAGTTCCACTTCTGTTACTGCAATCTCCTAAAATGATAAACTTTAACAATAAATAAATGTTATTAATTCACAAGAAACACTATACTGGTTTGCTCATATCTACGCATGTTCTGTGTCAAACAATGGACATAAAAATAACAGGCTGGCAGACAAAAAAAAAATCATTAAATTTTCTTCTTTTAACTGATATTAGCAGAGTTTCCAATTTTTCAATGACTGCAGTTTTGCTGGGCTGTAGGGTCACGAAGCTGGGCTGTAGGGTCACGAAGCAACGATAAATTGTTGAACACCTTTGAAATATTTGAACAGTACTCTTGTTGTGTGTATATGTCTGAGAAAAGGAAACTAATGTGCCTACCATTACAGATCCCACACTGTGTTATAACAAGTTAGCCATAAAGATCACATACCTCAGGCTGAGGGTTGTCTTCAGTCTCTCCTCCCTCCACAGTGCTTTCATCTTCACTCTGCTGGGGGAAATATAAGTGATTAAGAAAAGTAAGGTCATATAAGGTCATATCCATGTTCAAAGCTTATGTTTATCATAAGCAAAAACCAATTTAGACAATGATTAGTGATCCTTCTTATACATTTAATTGCTCTAAAGGCATTTCTGATCAAGTGATAATTCACAAAAGAAAATGGGAAATAATGTACATCAAAGAAAAGCTCCAGTCCAAGGATGAGTTACCCCCGACTCCTGTGTCGAATCCTCCCCCTCCTCTCTTTCCGTATCCTCCTCTTCCTCCCCAGTTGTCTCCTCCTCCTCACCAACATCCTCACATTCATCCTCCTCTGAGGTCTCCTCCTCGCTGTCGTACCTGGGACGTCTCTTCAGTACCTGCCTCAGTATCTCGTCAATTCTCTTCTTTCTGACACGGTTCTTGCGACTGAAAATGAAGACATAATGCAATGATTTAAATATTATTGGAATGTTGAATTAAAGGTAGTTAACTGGTTTCATATCATTGTCTATGAACATGTAGCACAAGTGAATCTTGAGAAAAATGTTACAGAAAACAATTTGTCCCAATTTCCACTTAGTACATACAAGTTCATCCACTTCTTAATCAATTTCATAAAAGAAGAGATACCAGTACAACACAAAATCCTGTACTTCAAATTCAAGACACACATCTTTAAGAACTTTTTGCATAACTTTTAAACATCACACACAGTTCTTACATTTGCCTGGCAATGGCAGCCAGACGCTTCATCAACTTCCTGTTGTCTTCCGTGTTCTTGAGAATGAAGTCTTCTTTTACTACCCTGTCCCAGCTAAAGAATAACAAAGAGACAGGCAATTAGTGGACAATACTTTAACAAATACAGTAGCAAATACTGAAGATCTTAAACAGATAACAGTTGGAGAAAAAAATTACCATCTTTTCAGACCCATGTCCCAAATTAAAGACAGCCATGCAGGAGATGTGTGAAGTAGACCCATTTCCAGAATTAAAGAGTGCCATGCAGGATTTGGGAGCACCTACCTGCTATTCCAGCCACTGAAATGCACCAGGTACCCAGGCCCTTTCTGACCATTGCTCCTCTTACGTGTGGTAACTTCCAAAACCTGTCACATATGTCAAAAATTTCATAATTTTAATTATACATAAATTATAATAATATTGGATATAACTTGGCTGTATGCAAAACTAACATGGTGGGAAAATATGCATTGAATTTGAGTCCAACAGAGATATTGCTTCAATATTCAGCCTCTCATGCTATTCAGATAAGGTTTCATAAAACTCTGTGTTTGGCACTCCCAAGTGGCGTCACTGACAAATGGCACGCGTAAGTGCTAACACTGCTGCATACATAGCTACAATAAAAAGAGTAAAACTGTATCAAACTGGCTCGTGAAAATGACTTTATTTGCGAATGATATACTTCAAAGTGCGACGGAAGACACACAGTTCCCTAAGTTTTGAGGCGGTGGTAACACAGGGTGTTATGAAGCCTTACCTGTTCAGCATGCGAGGCTGAAATCTGAGGCAAACACAGAGAACAGCCAGGAGAAAACACGCCACACGTTCCTCAATAAATAAATCAACAAAAACCCAAGTGCCTTTGTAGGTTGGAGAACATGTATGCATTACCTTCGCATCATACAGAACCCTAGCCTTGCTTGGGTCTGGCTCAAAACAAAGGACCTTCTCGTCTTCTTCAAAAGCAAATTTCACACCTCGCATCGACATTCTCTCATTCTTTTTCCAATGAAGCTATAACGACAATAGAATCTATTGACGGTCTTCGTATTTACTTTGTATTCTGATCAAATTGAATGATTAGTACTAAAAATTAATGGTCATTTGAGAACTTGAGTATGCTTTTTATCTTAAAATATATATCTAATAAGAGCATCTCCAGAAATAAGAAAAGACTGATGTCGTAAAATGCCGTCATGGGATTCTTAGTTTAAAAATGGCTGCGCCCATAGCATTCGAATCGTCGTGGAAGAAAAAGGCAGAGAGGGAAAATATAAGACAAGCGAGAGAAAAAATACTAGAAAAGGTAAAACGTGCAAATACAATTAATTGGTAATAAGCGATTATGTCCCAGAGAAAATTCCCCTGTTTCTCGTTATACTCACCTTTAAACAAACATCCGTCGACGCTGCTTGATGAACGTCACAAAAACTGGACCAGAGTTCCCCTATTCTCTAACACTCTTATTTACTTTTTTACATTCAATATTGTGCTAGCATAAACAGGAGACAAATATAAATGCTAGAGTGTTATTTCGGGCTCTCATAAACTTTCAAAAAGTGAACAGAGGCACTACCTTATAGAAGAACAAGTTGACCAAGTTTTGTACTGTACTACTGAGAGTCTGAGTCGTGAAAACTAAGCCCTTTCACATCCAGCGTTATATAAGTTACTGCATGCATTATTAATTTTAACTTTTTTACACAAATTATTTTATGTTCTATATATTTTTTTTTCTCTTAATTGCTGCTATTCTTTCAGGCAAAAGACCAATATGAGAGAGAACAGCTAAAAAAGGAACAGGCCAAGCTTCGTGGTGAGGACACCTGGATGCTTCCAGCATTGAGTGATAGAATAGATCAGGAACAGAAGGTAAGAAATAAATATCTTTATAATATAGAAAAACTAGTGGTATTTAACATTAAGTTTCTGTTAATTATGTGTGCCTTTGTTACTTTTTTACATAAAGTATTTCAACTTGGTATATGAAAGTGGTAATAATAAATTTTTAATATAACTGCTTTAAAACACATGCAAGTTTTATACAACACCCAAAGTATTCTTCAAGTTGTAGCTCCATATATGTCAGATATAAAGGCATTAGCTTTTTTATTGCGAGTAAATTGTTGAAATCAGTTTTATTATTTCAATGACATTGGTGTTCTAGGATTTAGAGAAAGCAAAGTCAAAGAAGACAAAGAAAGAAAAAAAGAAGAAACACAGAAAAGAAAAGAAAAAGAAGAAAAAGAAAAAAGAAGCCAGTGATTCAGACAGTGATTCGGTAATTGAATTTTATTATTTTCCTTTCAATGAAATTCGTTTGTCTTGGCTAGCGCTAGCATGTGATTTTTGGTAATCAAGATAGCTACTTTAAGTCACAAAATAAAAGATACATACAAAGTGAGAGCACAGCTGTGTTCAGTGCATGATTCAAATTACTACCTCCAGTTTCTGTCACAACTCAAGTAAAATCCACAGGCCCCAAAAATATCACAAATTTACACTTTTAAAATGCAAATATCAAGTCATGAATTTGTCTGTCCCCTAGATTGTATTGAAATTTATAATGAAAGGAAATAATGTAGTGACAATGATTTGACATGTCTACAAGTATTAATAGCTTAATATGCAACTTTAGATAATTTCTGATAATTTGAAGTATAAAGGAAGTAATAAAGATGCAAAATATTTTAAATTGATTTTATTTTCAATGCATAAATGAAATTTATGTATTATTTAGGATTCTGATGATGAACCAAAATGGATTGAAAAAACTGCAGCAAGCTCACAGCTGTCTCTAGCTGTAGACAGCAGCACAATAAAAGGTCCAAGTTTACAGGTGCCTGGAGTTATTACCATTAATGATCACTGTAAACATATTGTATAATATGGTGCCAAAAGGGGTTATCAGCATACTGTTAAACTGGACTTTATATTTGAATTTTATAATTGGTCTCCTTTTTTGGTAGTCTTTTTGTATTAGTCTCTTTGGTGAAGAAGTAGAAATCTACCAGATAATGTCAGTGGAAGTTATTTTGCAAGTTTGTAAAGAAATATATTCAAATGACATGTGTTTATTTTATATTTTATTCTTACAGAGAGATAATTGGATGAGTGAAGATTTTTCTTTCATCCCCACCACATCCAGAGAACAGCTGCGAGAGCAGATAAAAAAGGAGAAAGAAGAGCAGATACCTGTTAGCTACCTGGACCAGGTGTGTCACAGACTTACATATGATCTCAAAACACTTCTTAAATTACATGTATTTATTTTGCTGGTAATTTTGATAGATTTTGTGTAGATGAAAAGTTAAAGAATTTTGTTCTTCATCTCATACATTTTTTAAATTAAGTAAAGCAATGTCTTATTCCTGGGCAGTTGTGATTTAGGGTATTCAAAGGTCATTTTATCTCTGATGTACTGTAAATATACTGTAACTAATTGTCCAAAAGAACTAAAAAGAAATCTAATTTTTTTTTCAAAACGAAGGTTGAAATAGAAGTTATATCCTGTCATGTTACATTGTTATCATATTTTGGTGTAGTTTAATGACATTTTCATCCTATTCTTCCCCTGTTCAGCCTGGACAACACAGCCGGGAGTTGAACCCGTACTGGAAAGATGGCGGTTCAGGACTACCAGAGGAGGCACCAGAGAAGACAAAGAAGAAGACAGAATCTGCCGTAACTCCTGTGCTTGGTAAATATGGTCACACACACATGCATGCATGCATGCACACACGCAAAAACACACACACACAAAAGGGTGTTGATTTATTGTCCCTTGTGTGATAGACACCCCAGTGTAAGTTGGTGTTTGGTTATATTTCTAGGTGCTGGTGGCGTAGCGTGGCTTAAGAAGGCGTACCAGAGATGTGTGGAGCAGGCAGAGGAGGAGGGAAGACCACTGGAAGAACTGGCAGCAGAGAGATATGGGGTACACAACAGCTGCCACAGGGGTGGTTCACTTTGAGCCAGCTTTGGTTCAGCCCAAGAGCTTCTGAATGTTAACAGACAAACTGATGTTCATATATTTATGTGAAAATGATTGAGATTTCATTTACCAGCTTCCACATTTTAACATTTACCCATGGTTAATATTTTGATCACCTGCTGTATGGTTTCAGAAGCTTTTATCTTACGTTATTTTCCTTAAGATCCAGTGTATTTTATAAGAAGTGGCCAATAGTAAACCGTGTCCAATGAAATATGCTTTTTATATTAAAAAATAAAAATTTTATTTTTAGATACATACATTTTATTTTGTATGTTTCAGTCATTGAAAAAGCTTCAACGTATGATAGCTGAAGCAGAGAAAGAATTAGAAAAAAGTAAAAGAGATGAAGAAAAGAATGCAAGAGACAGAGAAACAGACAGGGAGAGAGATACCTACAGAGACAGAGATAGAGACAGATATAGGGATAGAAACAGGGATAGGGATAGAGAAAGGGAAAGAGACAGAGAAAGGGAAAGGGATAGAGACAGAGATGGATATAGAGACAGAGAAAGGGAGAGAGATAGGGATAGGGACAGATGTAAGGACAGGAGAAAAAGTAGATCCAGATCTCCTTACAGCAGAGATTCAAGAGAAGCAGGTTCCAGTAGACTGAAAGGACGGTTTATGAAACCTGGAGACTTGAACTCAAGATCAAATGAAAGTGAAAGAAGTTTAGATCGCGACAGAAAAAGGTTTTTAAAACCTGGAGAATCATCATCGGAGTCAAATGACAGAGGAGGATATAGAAAATCTGGTGAATCAAATTGGAGGAAGAGGGAATTCCAGAAACCAGGAGAAGGACCATCAGTTGTTAGTGAAAAAGATGCAAGTAGTAAAGCACCAAGTTGGAAGAAGGAAAAAAATCAAGAATCTAAGAGGGAGAAAAAGAGAAGTCCTTCACCTTCAGGTGAGCATCAGTGGTTGTGAATTGTAGCTTGCTCATGCTTTGATCAGTACTTTTAATTGTTTCTGATACGGTTAATTGTGCTTAGATATATTACTCAGTACGATTTTAAAATTGAAAAAATCTTTTTGGATCATGACTTAGTAAAGTAAGTTGGTAGTAGAAGATATGCAGTTATATCTACTATTCTTATATTCACATAACCCTACCTATTTCCAGAATCAAGTTCCTCTAGTGCGTCTTCCAGTTCTGAGTCAGAGTCTGAGGAAGAGGTTCCAAGGGAGAAGTCCTGCTCCCCTCCTCCTCCTGCTCCTCGTGTAGAAATCCTCACAGAACAGCAGATGAATGAGTTAGGAGCCAAGTTACTGAAGGCAGAACTCATGGGGAACCAGGTACAATAAGAGAACTGAGGAGGCCATATTGACTGGCCACAATGCTCTTATATTTCATGAAATTTATATATTATATTTCTTGAAAATTGAATTACTCATTCATCATAGGCATTGTCACATAGATTTTGTTATGTGTGAAATAATTATTTTTCAAATTATTATTATTATTACTTTATTAAATTTTTATTCGTGATAAATATTTGATTTTTCATGCACAGGAGTTGGCTGACCAAATCAAAGAAAAGATGGAGGCATCTCGTGCTGCTAAAGAGCTTCAAGCCAGGAGTGGTCCAGTGAAGTCTAGGGGAGAGGAACAGGGAGAGGAAGATAATGTAGTTGTTTTAACTAGAACAGACAGGTCTGGCATGGTAAGACCTATTGATGAGAGACAACATGAACCTGAAGGCAAAGGAAAGAGGAGGAAGAAACAGAAAGTAAGTCAGAAGTTCAGACAGCACCAAGATATTAGAAATAGATATTGTTTTATATCAGCTAAATTAACAAGCTAAATTGTTTTAAACTTATTGAAATTATAATTAAAATACCACTAAAGAAACCTTGGTTGGCTTGACTCATCATTTGACATTTCTAACCTTGATCCTACATATTTTTTCAAACTAGTTTACTAAAAGGCCTTTCCATTACAAACTTACCAACACAGTCATTCAATTGTCAGAAAATCCTAGGTGTTTAATCAGAATGCTTTGTTTGAATAAAAATATTCAATATGCTGTTTTTGAGACAACACTTTGTTTTATTATGAAACTCCTCCATTTTCTCTTCATTTCCAGATGGCCACCCATGATAAATCTGGGGAGAGAGAAAGATATTTTGCAGATGATGACAAGTATGACCTCAAAACTCTGGTAAGTCACACTTTATTTACATATTTTACCAGGCAAAAATTCAACCTCTTGAGGAAATAATGTGGCATTGTCATACAGTAGCTTAGATCGAGTTGTTTGACTCTGTTTACTCTCTAAAAAAGTATCGCTCTCATATCTGCCATTATTGGATTCACATAGAAGAGCTAACACAGGTTCCACTGTATACTTACACAAGGATTGCTAGTCTTAGAATATTGGAGGTGTAGAAATATGTTTTCAAAGCATCGGTATTATCCTCAAACCATCTTTGTATTTTAAAGGTGAAGAGGGAAAAACTGGGCACTGCAGAGGATGACAAGTTGATGTTTGCACGTCTGGCAGGAAGGGTTAGTGTCTGATGTTATGTTAAACATTTAGAAAATGTGTGATATATGATATATTACACATCTAGATATGTGTGTTATATGATATACCACACATCTAGATATCATGTGTGTTATATGATATATTACACATCTAGATATCATGTGTGTTATATGATATATTACACATCTAGATATCATGTGTGTTATATGATATATTACACATCTAGATATCATGTGTGTTATATGATATATTACACATCTAGATATCATG